TTCACGCCAACCCAACGCTCAAATATCTATAATCAACAAAGTTTTGGAGCACAATATTACTCAACATTACTCATTGGATGCTTTCAGATACAAAAATGTATCAGGTATAATAAGAATAATCCACAGGTATCTTTTACTCTTATGGAAATATTACTATTGACCTTTAAAAATTCTGCCTACTGATGCTTTAACCCTTAGAAACTGATGTGCCTGGGAAGACAAATTACAGATAAACTTTTAGTACTCTGAGCAAATAGACCACTTTTTATCATAGAAACAGATAGCAACATCAATTTCTGAAGAAAAAAAAATAGACATTTCAGCTGTGCATCTCTAGACCAAAAAGTCAGTGTTGTAAAAACCCATGGCAATGAATTTGCTTTGAAAACTTTAGGCATGACTTCACCAGGTATTGCTTTATGCTTTCCTACTGCATCTTAACTTGGAATATTAAGCCAATTGAGTATTTTCAAATAGCAGTAAATTAAGCAAGTAAAAGACATAAATATGAACATGTTCCCATAACACATTATGTATCCATCCTCCTGAAGCCCACTGAAGTCAATAGAATATCTCCACTGGTGTCAATGCTCTTTCAAGACAGAATTTTCTAGAAGCAGAAATGGCACTTTGTATTAGAAATAAGGATGTGTGGCCAAGTTCAGATCTGTATCTGCCCTTTTTGAAAGTTTGCATGTGGCTGAGCACAAAGTTAAGGTTTCTTCTCCAGCTGCTTTCCGGATTTTACTCAAAGCCTGTCAGAGAAGGGATTTCAGTGCTCTTTGAGTCAGGGCACCCTACTGCTCTGCCATTGCCAATGTGCCTCTGGCTATGCAGGCCTGCCATTGGGAAGAGGATTATGTGTGGAGATCTCAGCACAGAATCACTCTCACTGCACAGTACCAGTGCCACTGTTTTCATGCGCTCATTGCATTTAGACCTTTCACACAGGAGCACATCTCCCTTAGAAATTACAGCACAACTCATAGTGTACTAATTAGCATTCAAACAATAGTACCTTTGATGGTGCATTATAAGTTATATTTTGCTATAAAGTCTTCTAACATGCTGAACCACAGAGCATGGCACTAGAGCAGGATGAATGATTGTGCAGGAGAGATACAATTAAGAGTTGCTGGAATGTCCTTTCTGGTCTTCACTCTCTGTGGTGTGTTATTTGCTAGATACTAAAACTGAGCTAGTAACGAGATGTCATGGGACAAAAACCTTTTGGATCAAGTGAAAATATTACATTGTTAAAATCAAAATGGGTCCCTTTTGAGGTTAGAGAGGAATGCGAGTTTCACAATTTCTTTTTTTAATAATCAGCAGACAGCCAGCTAAATCATACTCATAAAATACCACTTCAGTTTGGATCTGTCACAAAAATGAAGCATTTAATTGCTGCTAGAAGTGACAAAGATAAGCTATTCTCATTCCCACTCCAAGGACAAGGGCATCTTTCAGAAAAGACACATTTTTGTGGTGGCTTTCTATGTTAGAAGGATGAATTTAACAATAGGTAAAAAACCAAAGCAAGGGACATGGCAAAATAAAAGCTTAAGAATCAAAACTCCTCAAATTCCAGGATGAAAATCAGGTAGCTGAAAGATGATTTAAGATAAATTCTTTCTCAGCAGGTCTCCACCACTACCCTCCATGTATATATATTCTGGTTTACTTCCATATGCAGTCTGTACAATTGTTCACAAAACTCTATTGTGACCTTTTAAAATAAAACAACAGTGTAATGCTACACTTCTGGAAAGGCCACTATTGAGATTAAAAAAAAAAAATAAATCATAAAAATGTGCCCTATCAGTCACGTTATGAAGTGTCTGTTGGGGGCTGCTAGTTTCTTAGGCAAATACACAGAACACATGGCAGGGCAGCACACCTGGCTGCTGCTGCTGCTTAGGACAAAATTGTACAGCAAGGTTCATGGCTGCATGGGTGTGGGTGTTTTTGTGGGGCAGAAGGGTCATTTCCCAAAGAATTAATGCTCACTGGGCACCTTGTTTCCCCTGCAAGCTGATACAAGTTACTTGCCTCCCAGCCATTTGTGCCTTTGGAAAAGTTCCCTCTAATTCTTCATCCCAGACACATTGCCCTGAAAGTGTCCTGCTGTCTGTCTACACAAATTAGTCAGTCTCTACATTCTTGTGCTCTACAGGACCTCTGGTGTTGGCTGCAGCAAAACCTTTCTAATATTTCATCTCCAGTTATGTCTCTCGGCTTTTTAGGGAGGCTGCACTTAGATAAGACACCAACTCAAATACCATATACTCTAGAGAGAGATTCGTTCTGCCACTTTCATTCAGCTGGCAGCATGCTGTTAACTGTTTTGCAAAGTAAAGAAACAACCACCTTTGTTTGCATAACAGCTGTTTATATATATATATATTTTATTTTTTTTATGATGTTTATTTAAGATAGCTTAATGATTTACTTTTCCTCAGATTCTCTTGCCTGGAATTAGTTACTTCATTTTCGCTGAAACTAAAATTAGGAAGGTACATAATTAAAAAAGGGACTAATTCTGTCATCTTTACACTGGCAAAATTCCCATGAACTCTGATTACTCACTAGGAATTCTGCCTGAAGAAGTATAATATAATCAAGAACTTCATTGCTGCAGATTATATTAAAGCCAAATGAGCACATACAGAATTCCTGCAGACAGACTCCAAAAAATGAAGTGCAAGACACTCTTAGGTTTTAGCACTTCTAAATTTTACTGTTCATCACTGTTCCAACTCCAGCACAGGTAAAAGCATTAAGCTGGATGAAAATAATACTTGTTTTAAAAAAAATGTATGTCCTGAGTAATATAATTTTATATTTTTTTTTTAGTTTTTGGTTTCTCTTTTTTTAGTCTTCAGCCTAAGGACCTAAGAATACAAGAAAAATACAATAACACAAGAAAAGCCCCACTGAGCTTAATATGTAGTCCTTAACGTTAGGGAAGAATATGAGCTGAAGCAAGCATTTTAGTGGTACTTGCTGGCAGGACATCTCTTATTCTGGAGGCTGATGGCTTAGAGACACCTTGATCCAGAGGCAGAGTGCAAAGCCCTGCATGCTTCCCCTGCAAGGCAAGGATTTGCTACTAATTGCAATGGCATCGTGGGATGGCAGTGGTTTGGGATCTCCTCTGGCCCACCTGCCATCCCCATGCCAGCAGTAGCAGGCAGAGGGTCACCCTGGTTCCCAGGTCTCTCTGCCACCTCGTCAGCTTCACCTTCTCTGTGGGATCTCTCAGAGAAACTACCATTTATTCCCCTCTTGTTTATCCATTTCAGCTCATTTTTGGAAGTAATTTAAGATCAGATGTAGAAGTATTGGCAGCCACCCTGAAAAATCTGGGACTTCATTTTCAGAGGTATCAATCTCCCTAGCACTTAGCTAAGGTCCACGGGAGACAGGAGACTGTGATGTCTCTTCAGAAACAGCTGCTAAGCCTATGACTTTGAACATTAGAAACAGAGGAACATGTAATTTGTGAATCTTCCCGAAATTCTTGGAATTTGTTGTTAAATCCAGCTAAAACTGGGCATTTTTAAGAGAGTCTATGTGAATATTTCCCTAGAAGTAAGTCTAAAATTGCTGGGAGATATTTTTACTGCAATCCATGGGGAGCTATTGATTGTAATAAAAAATACTGTGAGAAGAAAACAGCAGCAAGTGAAACTGCCCTCTCAGAAAGCCCTGATCTGCTTTGAAGGAAGTGTTGATATTCACCATAAGCCTCGACCGTTTCCCAGAGGGCTGTAATGACATAATCAAAAAGTAATGGCGTTCTGGACTTAAAGGAAAAAAAGAAACCAAAACAAAAGAAAGCAGGATCTGATTCATCTCCCATTTAAATCAAAGAGGATTTTGCTATTGACTTCAGTGAGAACAAAGTTCTGGACACAATCTGTGCACAGTTTATTTGCACATTTGCTTATCCAAATGATCCGAACCCTAACCAATAGCCTGTCTAGATGCCTGTCTGGGAGTATGCCTATACAAATGCATGAGTGTGAGTTTATAATGTGGTTTAATGCAAATTATTCTGGCATTTTAAAAGCATTTCCAGCTACAAAGGACAGCTTTAGCTGATTTCCACCCCAGAATATAGACTTTAATTGGTCAAGTTTGTAACTTGCGTTTCAGGCTGCAATTCATATCCAATTTCATGCAAGCTAAGACACAAGCAGATTTTGCATTTCTGGGGTTAATTTCAAAATTTTCTTACTATCCACTGAATTAAAATCTTTCAGCCATTTTTTTTAAATGTGAAAAGCTCCACAAATTACCCAACTCATCAGCTATGGTCCTTGGTTTCCTTGAAGGGAAACTTCTTTGATGACCACAAGAAAATTACAGTAAATAGCAACCAAGATTGCCATCACAAGTCTGCTGAAAATTCAGGATGAACTCCTGATTGCCTTAGTCATGTGAACAACCCCTTCAGAACTGCTCAAAGTCAAGCAAGGTGGTTTACACCAGGAGTTAATTTAGCCTGCTGAGACTCTTTGCGTTACTAAAATGAGCATGATTTTGGCTTGTAAATGGGGGGTAGAATTTTATTTCACTTTCTGAGGGGCATACATCCATTTCAGAGTAAGCTTTTCAGAATAAAAGTTTACTTCACATTATAGGAAATGACATTCCTTTTTTAGATTTTCCTTTTCAAAGCATGCCTCAGATTTCTAACTTGTAGCAGAGAGCTTTTGCATAAGTAATAAAAGTCTTTAAAATTAAAATGCTAATCGTAAACAAACCCAAATGCATGAAAGATATAGTCTGACTGCATAACAAAAGAGAATTATATAATTCTATTTGAGTGAAATCTTTCATCTTTGATTTACAGGTTTGAGTCTGCCTATAACTGAAACCATATTGTTCCATATCTTTCATATCATGGCCTTCCCCAAAATCTTGTTTTAATTAAGGTTCCTTTCAGACTTCAGAATAAAAAGCATGACAGTCTTCACTTATGGCTTTAATATATCTTTTGAGTTTGGAAAATATATAAAAATGAACATCACTTGCTTTTAAAAGCTGAGCAAGCTATCAAATACTGCAAGTCAAATACTTCAAGGTATCTCCCAGGGTTCATTAGGTGAGAAAGTTGTAAGCAAAAATAAAAGTTGCTGTAGCAGAGTTTTGTTCATTTGAAGTGGTCTTACATCCATGCCCTATCTCTTTCTCTGACGGTAAGGCAACACGTGTAACAGTTTAAGCGTTCATTATCAGCTAAAGGCACAACTCTATGTTACGTTCTCAAACATGGAATTAAACAGCTAAAGTCACATTGCAGGGAGATCTTGCTGCACTTTGGGGATCTAAAACAAAGCCTAAACCCTTTGAAGCTTCTTAAGCAACATCAGTTCTCTTGGTGCAGGACTACATAAAAGAATCAGTTCGTATTCACATGATGACCTGTAAAAAACACCCCCAGCACAACCGCCACAGAAACACCTGAGCTTCAAACGAGCTGCACGCAGTTATTGAAGATCGCTGCTCTCAGAGTCCGGACGCAGAAACATTTCAGAAAAAACTAAAAGCACATTTGAAAAGCCATCCATTTTTCAGAGACTACTTGATCTCTGCTGCACATCTGGTGAGAACTACTGTCAACTATGGAGGGTACAGCGCTTTTTTAAAAGGCAGAAGATCGCTTGCTTTAGAGAGTCACGAACATGTTTTTAATGATAGAAAAGATCAGACGAAATGGGGGGAATAGCCGGGAAATGGGAAAAGAAAATAAAGCACCACCAAGCACAGTACTTAGGGGAATTTATAGTACAGTAAGAAGTGTTTTCCCTTCAGCTAAAATCCCTCAGTGTAATTTACACACCTTTCACTTATTCAGCTGAGAACTGGGGTTCTTTAACTGGGGTTAAAAAATGCCACATAAAATAATTAATTTTTTTTCATTATGCAGAGCAAAGAAAAAAATATTCTATTAACAATTTAACACAGTATGAAAAAAAATTACTCAGTAAAAAGTGTCAGAAAGTGATTCATGGAGTTTACCGATTATTTTGCTGGCTGTTGCAACTCTTGTATCTATAATCTATCCTGTAGAATTTTGCAATACTCTATTTCACAATTTTTGTTGGTGAGTGGGTCAAACAGCATCTAAAAAGCATGCTCCTGGCTCTTTCTCCCAAGCCCGTTTTAGTGTAACTCTAGAATTGTAGCGGTTACATTTAAGGAATCTTTAGGGCCCTTTCAAGTCCATCCAAAGAACAAGTGAAGCTGCTATTCAGAGTTTCGTGCCCAGTGTTTACGTTCCATCTGATCTGTGCCACCCAAGCAGCAGACAAGACATGTCTGAGGGTGCTTTGGGGGGATACACAATGATGTCACCCACAGGAAATATCAGGGAGGACTTGGCACTTCACAAGGCTGGCTCTTCTTCCATGGGCTCGCCAGCAGCTCTGTAAAAATAAACAGGCAATCAGAATACGGCACAAGAGTACACAATGACATTGTAGATTTTCATGCATAATCAAAGCTGATTTTTCAGCTCTCTCTGATGTTTATTTGTGTTATTCAGTTATCCACAAATAGAGTTTCTTTCCTAGGAAGTATAAACAAATGTCAAGTGGAAAAACATTTTAGATCCAAGCAATCACTGAAAATGTTCCTGTTTATATTAAAATATGTCAGAATATTTTATAACTTTTTCTCCAGAAATGTACATGCTTTGTGTCAACAGAGTCAAATAATTTCAAGAAAAAAATAGCTGTGATACTTTTCTTTTACAAGCTCTGGCAACTAAAAATACATACATTTATTATTTCAAGCGGGCCCATGCTATTAAACTGAAAAAGTTCACTAGTAGCCAAGTAGTTAGCAGTGTTTCTTCTGGGGTTGTTCTTCAGTCCTCTGGTTTTCTGTGCTTTCACAAATCCATTGCCTGCATGCAGCTTTTGAGATCAAGTTCTGAACTCAAGCTGCAGATCGCTGTCATAAAGAAAGTATCTATTAATAATATCAGATTAGATTATACATATAGCTTTTATTTGAAAGCCTCAGGGAAATATTTAGGTTAGACAAGATGAGCTCTTTAAAAACATCCAGTAAGAATGCAGTGGAGATGTATGCTGAGCTGGTGTAAAGTGTCTTAGTTCTTTCTATCTGACAAGCTATACACCTGAGGGTTATGCTGACAATTTTAAAATGGGAAGCTTCTGAGATAATGGTGAGACCTCACTATTGAAGGACATAAGAATATGGACATAAACCATTTTTCACCTCAGTCTGGCAGAATACCATATGAAAAATGAGCTTCAGATCACCTAAAAAATAGTTACTTTAAGTAATTTTGAAATGAGGGGAGAAGAGCAGAAAGTAAACACAAATTAATAATTAAGAGACATTCACCAGTTAAATCCTGTAAGTGGGTATAATAACTGGCTTCAGTAAAACATCCCTCAGAAAGTACAAACTCATGAGATCCCATGGAAAAAAAAATAAAAAATTAACAGGGGCTTGCATGGGCTTTGGTAGTTTATTCAGATTGGAAGCCAGAGAATTTTAAATGAATCTGGAGTTTATTAAAGTCCTTCCCAATGAAAAATTCAGCAGTGTGTCTTTAAATTATTTTATAGAGGTTATTCCTTTATGGTTTGGAATGATCACAGCTAGTTTGTTGAAAAATATGTCAGATGAATGATATATGGAAAATATGATGTTTTTCAGACTAATTACTTTCCAAAAGGTTATTGACTCTAAAAGATTATTAACCTATAAATCTCAAATCTTTTGCTCCTCACCACATGGTGGAGAATGTGCTATGTACAGTAACCACTGCAGATCCCTTGTTCCTGAAAGGTGAGGTGAAACAGGATTTCGGGGAAGGCTGCAGCAGGAACCACTTCAGATGGGGCAGTGCTGGGGTGGGAGGTCATCCCTGCCCACATGCACATCCAGTAGGATATTACTCTCCTTTGGTGGACAATAAAAGCCCAGAGAGCTTATCAAGATATGCATAAAAATATTTAGTAAGACCTCTTTCAAAAATTACAGAGATCATCACTGCCTTTTCTTCTCCCCCATCCTTGCATTGTTCTGTCTTGCAGCAGAAACTGCACAGTGGCAGCCAGGGTGGGTCTGAGGTGCTCAGGTGTGATAAAGGATCCTGCACACACTACTGTTGTGCTGACCACGTGCTTCCACTTTCTCCAGCCACTTTCAGAAGACCTGCATGTCCTCTAGCATAATGCAAAAGTCCACTAAAGCCCTTGTTAAATATTCAGCACCTTCTGGGGCTGTCTGGGAAGAGAATAATTTGGAAGCACATAACAGCTCAGTTTCTAGATTCTACAGCAAGTAAGTGATTGATTGAGAAGAAATAGTTGGCAATAGATTTCAGTTAGAGATTGGCAATCAGGAAAGAGT